CAGCGCGCCTTGCATTCAGCTAATAAAAGAAAAATGCTGCAATTTTCTGGTGTTATTTTATTATTGTTGGGGCAGAGTACAGCTATATCTTAAACTTCTTAAAATACAGTCCACTTCATTTGGGTGGGTTTAGCCCACTCCTGCCCATGCCTGGAGCCAGTGTTGTGCCGAATTCTGCACCCCTGCCAGATTATGCACCCCTTCAAAAATCCCGGTAAATTCGTTCTGGCAATCATATCGTTCTTATGGAGATGGCTTGATTACTCTGAGCTGTTTACAAAGCTCCGCTGCTTTTTTAATAGCTTTTCTATACAAATATGACGCTAGATGGAAATCTTTGACCATTGCGCTTCGCAGCTTTTTCAATGCGTCACGCTCAAGACCAAGGCTTCTTTTCCATTCATCAGCTGTGACTCTGCAATTGGATTCTATTATGCGCGTCTCGTGTTTATATAAGAGCAAAAACTTCTGATTGGTTAGTAATGTTAGTTTGGTTGAGAGTGAAAGCTGTGTTTCTCTCATACATTGGTAGGCGAACTCATGAACTCAAACGTGATATCAACAAGTGTTTTTAAATGTAGGACGACTATCTTTTTTTTTTCCCCCCAGCCAAACACCGCACGCCGGAGAGCCGGCACGGTGCCGGAGAACTTTAAGCCCTGCAAATTATACATATATAATTATAAAAAAATAATTAAAACAATTGGTGAAACATAGCATGCTTTAATTTGCAAGTCAGCTGGTCAAAATAACAATGCAGCAGTATTTGCTGATGTCACTATCAGAAAATATATCCACAAACAATTTAGGGTATATCCAGTAGTGTTACTAAAGATTATGAATTTCATAATGTGAAGTTTAATATTTAATATTATAATTGATCTATTTCTGTTTTTAACAGGGGACCAAAGGTTTCTTTCCCCCTCTTCAGAAGCAAAGGGAAATGAGCTTCTGAAAAGGTGAGGTCAATAAACCCTTATTGACAGTGTGAAAAGTCAGTCAATTGAGTAACATACTATTGAATTTTTCTTCCATGTGAAGTTCCGAAGACTCAAAAGTCCAACAAGCCCCACTGAGCAGAGAGCAGCTGACCAGCAGTCTCATGTCTGATAAAGTTCTAAGGAGCAGTGATGAAGTGGATACTGTAGATATTGATGGCTAATGTTGTAATCATGGCTAATCTGTCATCATGGATCTGTTTTTTGTTTGTTTTGTATTTACTGGTAAAGGACAACATTTGCACTACATAATGTCCTGTATAAATAAATTGTGCCATTTAAAATGATAATAATCATGATCAGATTCAGATCTAATAAGGCGGTGCTGAAATATCTGTAAAGAATGTAAATTCATGGTGCATGGCTATCGATTAAATTTCTGCACAGCCTATGTGGGCTTAAAAAGACAGAATGATGCACTTTCAAATCTTGGTGTAAAACACTCATTTACTGCTAATTGTAGCGCAAAAATAAAAATATTGCAATTTGACCAATCTTATTTAATATTTGTTGCCGTGTACTTTTAGACCACACATATATACATTTTGTTGTGCATTGCTGAATCATAATGTGGTTTATTCAGGTATTCAAATAAGCTACACTTGTGTTGTAAATTGAGAAGCAGCTGTATTTTTTTTTTATTTTATTTGATACTTTGTCACAGCTATTATGTTTATGCCTTCTACTTGTAAAATTAAAACAGGTTGCTCCATAATTATTTCAAATTAATTTGACTTGCAGAAATGTATAAATTAACTTTAATTAAGGAGCAATAACATCCTGCAGCGAATGTGTGACTTTTGTCTTAATACTTTATTTAACTCTTTAAAACAGAAAAAGTTAATTTTTACAATAATAAAAGTACATTGTTAGGAAGCACTTCTACAGAAATAATACAAACGTAATTTGTTGAAAACATTTAGCTGGACTAAAGCCTAAAGGTTTAGAACAAACGAGGCAAACAAATATTTACAAATACATTATAATTTAGAAACACTTCTCACACAGACAGTAAAATGTCAGAGTCTAATTACTGCATTATTTCATATTAATGTGACCCTCAAACACATAAGGCAAGTCGACAGAGCTCCATGAGAAATAAACCATCCATGAAATCAAGCTGAAATCACTTTGGTGAATCTCTGGAATGTCTTATTGGCCAATTTCTGTGCATAAAAATATTGAAATATTTATAAACTTAGTGCACATTCAATATTTCAAGTGTACTGGTTTGGTTCCAGTGTAGTTGCTTAAAACCTACAGTGCAGCTACATTCGTTTCAGAAAGCTGGTTGTGTATTGATGTCAGACTGACAGACTGGGCCAGCACGATCTGTCTTGCTAAACAGATCCTCGTCAGACTGCTGGTTTACTGTCTGGTATCCAGCGGCTGGGGGAGCTTATCTGTACACTCAAGCCTTGGTTAGCTGAACCAGGCGACATCAGTACTGGAGAGCAGGATTGGTCCACTTCCTGTTCTACACACTAGCAGATGGTAGCCTTACTTGTGTTGTGTGGTGGTGGCTGTCATTCAAAATCATCCTCGTATTCATATTCATCCAGGTCCAGGTTACAGTGAGGGTTGGGGATCTCAAAGAGATGTCTCTTCTCATTCCGCAGGTCAAAAGCACATGTAATGTGATCAGTTGGGTCTAGTACATTGTCACAGCTGAAAAGAAAGCAAAAAATTGTACATTGAATTAAAATGACAAAATGTATTTCACCCAGCCCTTTCAGTTTGAATGTTTTGCAACAGACTTACTCAATTATATCATTCACAATACTTGGGAAGAGCAGTTCATACCTTTATAATGGAATTTATAACATACACAATCCTGTACTTCGATTGGATGCTTAAAATGTAATGAAAATTGGAGAGAGGATATTCATTCATATGGAGAAACTACACATGCGGAAAAAAACTTCTAGAACCAACTGGAGGGCAAAAGAGTTAAGGAACTGACATGTAAACGCATGCCATTGAAAAGACACCTGACAAAACTGGAGTTTGCTGAAACTGTAAAACATACTTTAATCCGTTATGTGATGATCTAAACAGTAACCAGGTGAAGCCATGAGGAACAGAAGTGGGGGAGAACAGAAGGAACCTCAACCCCGCACCTACAGCGTCATACCCGTTTCAACTCTACTCATCCTGTCATTAGAAGTCTGTGCTGATCCTAAAAGCATCACATAATACCTCATCAGCCCTCTGATCACTGATTTAGTGCAGTGACAATGCAGCAAATGACGAAAGTGGACTGATGTTATTAAAACTGCTGCATGACGTGATGTCCTGTACAGTTTAGAGAGGCTGCTCGCAGCTGAAGTTCAGTGTTGTTAGCTCATCTATGATGCTGCACAGTGATAATATTTTGGTCTGTGGGCAGTTCAACTGTGAGAAACGCAGTCTTACCAATCGTTGTACGGCTCGTTTGCAGTTTCCTCAGCTACCAAGTTATCATACTCCTCTGCAGCATATCTTTCCCAGTCAGAAATCTCCTGTCCCATTGTCTCAGCATCCTATACATTTACAAACGCAGAACAGCAATAGTATTAAATCATCAAAGTGACCAAAACCACCATACAATTATATAAACCATGTTATTCTTTACCCTTGCAGCCAGTAAGGGATCCCTCTGTTCGTGGTCTAGGTACTTCTCAACGTTGAAGAAGGTGTCAAAGAAAATATGGGAAAGTTTACATCTCTTCAAGTCCCTGAGAGTGATTTTTCCTGACAAAAAATAAAGCAAACACGTCGCAAGTAATTTTACGGTTTTGCTCACTTTTGCTAGGATGTGTGATTACTTCAGAATGATGACAGACGAGCATGCAAAGTCTAGGAAATTCAATCCAACACATTAAGTTATTCATCATTTCAAACAATACCTGGGATTTCTGGCTTAATCATATCTAACATTTGGCACAGGCTGTCCTCGAAAGGCAGTGGTTCAATGGCCATGGCCTCAAGCTTCTGAGACTGCTCCTGGTAGAAGTACTCCAGCTCATACATGGACAGAACTCCATCCCCATCCAGATCCATACAGCGAAACCAGTACTCTATGCTACACAATCAACAAGCAGATTATGTAAATAATACTGTAAAAGTAAATGTAACTAAAATGATATTCATTCAAAGTTGGTTTAATTTTGTTTTTATAGCCTTGAATTTTTACATATATTTAATGTTCCATTTTTTGGGGAAATTGTTTTATCAGATTAATCAAAGAAAGAATAGATTAATTATCAAGAAAGCTGATAGTTGCAGTCCTATCATTTTGAAAAAAAAAAAAGCAATAAATCTATAAGCAATAAAAAAAAAGAGGTAATTTCAGTTACCTGGTCTCAGTCTTTTTGTCCTCCTCAGATATGAGGAACCATACGAAGTCAGTGTAGCTCAGTCTGCCCTCTTTGTGAACCTTTCTTTCCCTGAGCATCAGAGTATAATTTAACCACAGCACTCACAAAATCTATAATAATGCGACACATGACACGCAAGCTTTCAAAAATTGGAGAGAAACAAAAGAATGTCTGAAAAATGAGAGATGGTACCTGGTTACAGCTCCTGAGAATAATCTCTCAATCATTCGGTGGGATATGGCTGTCAAAGAGCAGAAAAATCACATCACAGTCTTCTCCTTTATTCATAGAAAACGCTTAAACTTGGTAATAATTCGCTGTCAAAGGTTGTAAATATTGTAAATTGCAACCGCAAGACATAGTGATTTAATATCCTTATTTTATCATTTTAAAAGACAACGATTATTGGCCCTGCCTGAAAGGAGATAAAATGATTAGAGTGCCAGACATGCCGTCATACTAGAGGAAATTGATGTTAAAATTTCACCGCACTTCGTTCAATTTACTAAACTCATTCTGCAGCAAACAGAAACATATGCAGTCAAGTGCTGCTAGAGGGGATATTTAACGTCACCTCCAGCAATAAGCAGCCAATCGATAAACAGCATGTCAGAAGAGTGTGACGGTCTTAAGGGTGCAGCGGGTGGATGGGTACCTTGATCATTATGTTGCATCAGGTCTCTCTGGTCTATGTACAAGTCGTGATCCGTGTCCAGCTCCCAGAACTTACAGTAGATGACATAGAAATGTTCATAAGAGAAGAACTCTGTCAACTGGTTAATCTCTTCCTCTTCTTCCAGAAGTGCCACATTCTGTTGGGAAACATTTTCACCATTACACAACGGAAAAGCTTAGTCATCTAAATTGTAGATTGGCCAGCCTGATTTTAGAAAAATCAGCAGTAGAAATTCCAAAACAACTTTATTTTCAACAAAATCATATTACTTAAAACCTACAATAAAAATAATAAAAATACTACTACTAAATCAGCAATTAATATAAAATAACATGAATGTGGGCTTGGTTAAAATACTGTATATTTAGCATACACCTTTATTTTCTGTTACACTGGTTAGAATGACATTTATTAATTAGCATAAAAATAAATTGACAAATGTCCACTGCAGTCCTAGATATAGACTCATAACATATTTACCTGTAGAAAACTACTTCTCTTGAGTTCTGTACATGTTATTTTTCCAGTCCATGAGCGGTTTACATTATAAAATATCCTTTGGACTACCTGTTGGCAGAAAAAGCACCTTGTTGAACATCAGGTTGATTGAAGCAATTCAACAAGACAGTGCTGATCTGTAAACTGTCCAGACTTATGGTGCACCAAAAAAATAACAGCGTATATATACACCGTCTGTTCAGGTTATTTGAGGTTTTAGTTAATGGTGCAAATCCATGCTTAATATACAAAAAACGTTTGAATTACTAGAAAAATACACAACTGGAAGTATTCCTTACAGTGGTAATGTAGCGTGAGTGAAAGTCTGAAGCCTCCTTTAGAAATGCCAGACCTGTATGTGAATCCACCACATCCTTAAAAAAAAAAAGGTATAGAAATGATTCACACACCAATATAACATCAAAGTCAGCATATAATAACTGACACGGCTTACAAGAGAAGAAAAAAACAGCAATGTTAAATCCATTTGTGTGCAAAGAGGCTCTGGATTAGATTACAGAGAAAAGGCGAATCATTTTAGTCTGTCCACTTGCAGAGGCTAATGCGTTGGTACAAGATGTGTGGAAATGTTAAAGGTATTAAACTTCTAAGAACAAAGGGGTGATTTTAAGGCCAAGTCCAGTTTTTAGCTTGTGCATCAGTTTCAGCCAGTCTCACTCTCTGCATACATATGGCCTGCTGGCTTTTCCATCTAGTGCATTCTTCAGCAGAGAAACAAAGATTTTACTCATGCATGTTTCACAGTCAAATACTGGTATATATGCGTAAAAGGCGATAAATTACGACAACTTATTTTGGGGGGAGGTGCGGGACTCTTTGACCCTTCCCCATGTGAAATTAAACAGTAGAAAAACACATAAATCATTGTTGTAAAGGAGCAGATGGGAACAGGCCAATCTACTCCATAACAATACTTTTTTCATTCATCAAAACGGTCAAAGCAATTGCTAAAGCTGCACAATACAAATTAAAGTGCGGACGCCAGAATACATCTCCTCCAGTGTGCACGGCCAATCCTGCCAGTGAATATAAATGACATGTCCATCACTGAACTCAAAGAATGCACTTCTGCACACAATTATTTCATAACGTTAAGCGTCACATTTGGAATTTTGCAAGTACATAAAAAAAGGAATTAGAGCAAATAATATAATGCTGAAATCATCAATGCTCAGTGCATTTTGACCTGTGTGTGTGTTCTCAGTGGTAGGTCTCTATTCCAGAA